GTTAGGTTCTCATCCGATGATACCGTCTTTTACATGAGGAGTCCTTCTTCTATTCGATGTCTAATGAAATGGTATTTTCTGTTGATGTTTTTGGATCTTCTGTGATCCCTTGGTTCCTTGGCTAAGTCAACTGCACTTTCACTATCACAGAAAATCTTCATAGGCTCCTTTATAGCTGGTACTACTCCAAGGTCTCCAATGAAGTTCTTCAGCCATATTACATCCTTTGCTGCCTCGCTTGCTGCTATATACTCTGATTCACAAGTTGAATTAGCCATTGTCTCCTGCTTGGAACTTTTCCATGTAATTGCTCCTCCGTTTAAGGTAAAGACCCAGCCTGACTAAGAGTGGAAATTATCCCTATCAGTCTGGAAGCTATCATCACTATACCCTACTACTCTCAAGTCATCATGCCTACCAAGGGTAAGGACCCGGTCCTTAGTCCTCCGCAGGTACTTGAGAATGTTCTTTACCGCAGTCTAGTAAGCCTTTCCAGGGGTCCCCTGATATCTGCTGACCATGCTCAAAGCAAAGGCCACATCAGGATGAGTACAACTCATAACATACATGATCGAGCCTACATCAGAAGCATACGGTACTCGAATCATCTCATCTATCTCAGCCTCTATACTCGGGCTCTGAGTCGTACTCAATTTGGCATTACTCTGGATCGGTAACTCTCCTTTCTTGGAATCATGCATGCTGAACCTATTCAGCACCTTATCCAAGTAGGTACTCTGACTAAGTCCAATTAGTCTCTTACTCCTATCTCTCAAAATCCTTATCCCTAGGATATATGCAGCTTCTCCAAGGTCCTTCATAGCGAAACACTTCCCAAGACTTCACTTCCTGCAGAGTTGGGATGTCATTTCCTATGAGTAGTATGTCATCCGCATACAATACCAAAACCTAACTATACTCCCACTAGCCTTGACATATACACAAGATTCATCTTCGCTCCTCGAAAAGCCAAACTCTTTGACTTTCTCATCGAAACAAAGATTCCATCTGCAAGGTGCTTGTTTCAATCCATAGAAGGATTTCTCAAGCTTACACACTCTATTAGGGTACTCTGTACTAACAAAACCCTTTGGCTAACTCATGTAAACATCCTCAGCCAACCTTCTATTAAGGAAAGTGGTTTTGACATCCATTTGAAATATTTCATAATCATGAAATGCAGCAATGGCTAATATAAACCTAATAGACTTAATCTTTGCTACTGGTGAAAAGGTTTCATCATAATCAACTCCTGGAGTTTGAGAAAAGCCCTTTGCAACCAATCGCACCTTATAAGTGTGTACATTACCATCCATGTCGGTCTTCTTCTTGAAGATCCATTTGCACCTGACTGTCTTACGACCTGGTACATGTCAACCAAGTTCCAAACTTGATTGTCATACATGGATTGTATCTCGTTGTCCATAGCCTCTTTCCATTTAGCAGACTCAGGGCTTGCCATGGCTTCCATGTAGCTGTTAGGTTCATCCAGACTTACCAGTGTTCTATCACTGATAAGTGTATCACCTTGCGCAGTAATATGGAAACCATAGTAATGCTCAGGTGCATTCCTAACTCTCATGGAACGCCTGAGAGGTACAGACTCGTCAGTCGGATCAACATGAGTTTCCTCCTCAGGTTGACTGCTAGGGTTTGAGGTTCCTTCACCACTTGACTCTTGAATTTCTTCAAGGTTAATTTGTCTCCCACTGTTTCCTTGGCTTATGAACTCTCTCTCTCTCTCTCTCTCTCTCTCTCTCTCTAAAGACTCATCTCCTTGCTATAAAGACCACATTATCATTGGGTCTATAGAAGAGGTTACCAAAGAATTTATGTGGATAGTCGATGAAAATACACCTCTCACTTCGAGGTTCGAGCTTATCATGAGTCTCGTGCCTCACAGAAGCCTCGCAGCCCCAAATCTTGATGTGGTCCAAATTGGGGGTTTTCCCAATCCATATCTTGTGAGGTGTTTTGGCAACCTTTTTGGTAGGGACTAACAAACCATGTCCAACAAGGTTTGATTATGCCTATTAGCCACACCATTAAGCTGTGGTGTTCTGGGAGGTGTCAATTGTGAGACAATCCCACATTCTTTAAGATAGTCAAGGAACTCTGTTCTAAGATACTCACCACCTCGGTCAGATCGAAGCATCTTAATGTTCCTGCCTAGCTGATTCTCCACTTCTTGTTTAAACTCCTTGAACTTTTCAAAGGTTTCTGACTTATGCTTGATTAAGTAGACATAACCATATCTACTATAATCATCAGTAAAAGTCATATAGAAGCGGTTAGCATCCCTTGTGGCGGTTCTTAAGGGTCCACACACATCTGTGTGTATGAGGTCCAACAAACCTTCAACCCTATAGTTTGGAGTAGGAGTATTTAGGAGGGGGTATCATGGGTACTATGTATTTTACTTGCCATTTTTGTAAGCATTGCATCATCTTTTGGTAACAATCATCCAATTGCAAATCAACATCGAGTATTCAGTTAGGCCTTTTTGAATATTGATAGTTAATGACCATTTGTAACATTGTTGAGCAATTGGATGTTTAGTTCTAACTGTAACACCCCCTTTTATGTGGTCAACACTGCAAGTATTTAAAGTACGTTGCCTTTACTTGTCATTTTAGTTTAAGCAAATTGCCATAAGTTAATTATTTAAAGTACGTAGCTTTACTTGTCCTTTACCATAACTACATTATCATTGCAGTGAATCACTATAATGTAATACCAAACCACGTGGATCATAAATAGCATTGGATTACCATCAAGATACTTTTATATAAACATTACAAGCCGAAATCAACAATTAACCAACTAGTTCTTACATCAAACTACAACCCCCTTGCAAAAACTACTTTTACTGCAATGTCTTAACCCTACCAAAATACCAACATTACAACAGCTGCCTTAACATTAAAATACAATGCCAATATAAGAATTACACCAATAATCATCATCATCACCAAAACAAACTTCAGCAACAGGTTGGCAACAATTTCATTATATCGTTCCCTTTCATTATCATTAAAATCCAACTCCTCTATGTCAAGCCACTTGAAACGTTTACATCCTTTTTGGTACCCTACCAATGTGATCTTCATTTAGGGGCTGTTTGGTAGCCTCTTAATTGACAAATTAAGAGGCAAACTCTTAATTTTTCAGATTAAGAGTGTTTGGTAGCATAGGAACAAAAGCCTCTTAATTTTGTAAGAGCCTCTTAAAGTTTCAGACTTGGGCTTGTATCTGAAAAATAAAAAGCACGCGTCCTTCCCTCTTTTACCCTCATCCTTGCTGATATGCCCGCCTCCAAGACAATACCCCCCTTCAGATCGTATCTTCCGTCTCATCCTACCTCTGACCATGTTGAGCGCCAATCACCTCCTCCGTCGCCGACCTCCCTGAAATCGACTCCCACCAGAAGCTTCGTCGCCTCCGCCAGCTTCCGCTAGCACCGCAACAACGACGACCTCATGTTGCCGGTAAGTTTTTTTTCCTGACTTGTTCTTCTTTTTTCCCCTGAAAACCGATTCTTAAAATACATGGATTTTTTCTTCTTTTTTTTACCCTAGAACTCGATTATCAATCCTCAATTTTGATTTCCTTTTTATATCATGCCCAATCCTGATGTTATGATGCTTGATAAATTTGATGCTATGAAATCTGCAATCTTATATGGAATATGATGTTATTACCTGTTCGATGAGTTCTTTATCAACATTACCCAATGTTTTTTTCTATTCAAATGTTGTTGCTTTTTAAAGTTTTGTTATTTTCATCATTCATATGTTTATTGTAGGAATATACAAGTGATATGAATCATATGACAATATACATTACAACAGCTGGTTTCCTTAAGATGATCATATCAACCTGATTATAGGTATATATAGGTGATATGAGTCATATGACAGACCAAAACAACTCCTTCAAAAGAACATGCCTTTGGAAAGCTAAACGAAAGCTTATATAATGCACAAGACTTTTGTGAGGTGAAACAACTAGTGTATTAAAGACTATAGGCATAGATTTTTGTTGATTTCTTTATTGTAGAATCATACTTTCATCTCTTCCTATTAGAACATTGTATTTTGAAAATTTTGTTTAGTTAAAGCAATGTTGTCCAAAAACAATGCAATTTTGATTGCTATTATTGGATAGATTTGTCAATTATTTATGTTTGATTTTGATTTTTGTTTAATTTTAATTTATGTTTGATGTTGATTTATGTTTGATTTTGATTTTGTATGGTGTTTAAATATATTTTTTATGATTATTCAAGAAGTTGTTTGGTTATTTTATAAACATAAACATTGAATTTGGCAAAAAATAATACAAAAGGGTAAAATTGTCATTTTTATAATTTAGCATATCAATTCAGAGGTTCCAACCAAACAGCATTTTACAATTCATATCTTAAAAATTCAGACCCTCTTAGAAATTCAAATCTCTTAAAAATTCAAATCTTAAAAATTCAGATCCTACCAAACAGCCCCTTAATAACTCTGGAAATATAACAAAACAGAAATACAAAATCTATTAACTTTACATTATAATTAGGGCATGCTTTGAACTTTCTTCCTGTGTTTTTATCTGCTCTTGGCATTGAGTATTGCATTTGATCACCACAATCACACTTGGTGTCATACCAAGATTTGTCGATGGAATATTGTTGATAGAAGATTGTTGAAGACGAAGTCATAGGGAAGAAGATGTGTGATGCTTGGGGAACAGGGGAAGAACATCAAATGACGAGTGAATGAGTATTTGGCGCGAATAACGATTTTAGGTATATAAAGAGTGAGGCTTACATGCTAAACCAATGATACCGGCTACCATTGAGTTTTCATAAAGTGTCAACACAAATAATGGCAAATAAGTAACAAAAAAAAAAATAGGGTTAAATCGAGTATAAATAATGGTTTTTATGGTATTAACGCTATTTTTTCTAAAAAATATATATATAACTTTGTTGGACAAATCATAAGAAAAGCAACATACGGTTACACTTAACCCTAGTTTCAATACTTATTCAAATCTAAGTTCAATATGACCCTGATGATAATACATATAAAACTTGATGGCAAGTTTTTTTTTTTTTTTTTCCTTTTTTTCAGTCATGCAATTATATGCTCATACTTGTGGTCACGTACCATTTGCCTCATTCCAATCCAAACTTTAATTAAAATACAACACAAAAGTCATCAAGAGCCACATTAAAAAGCAAGCAAAAACAAGGACAATATTTCCCATTTTAGCACACTTCACATATCAGCTACCGACCACAAGTAAGCTTCTCTTTCTGTAGCTTGTTTCTCATTTTGTCTATTGAACATTTGCTTCTCAAATCCTGCGAAACAAACAAACATTAATTCATCACTTCCAATCAATTCAAAAATGAATTCAACTAATGAAAATATTAAAAGTATAGCAAAGTACTTTGATTTTTTACTAATGATAGCAATATGTATTATGTAACAAATAAAGTACTGGGCTGACCTAAGTAAAAAAAAAAAAAAAAAGGAAGTTTGACTAACCGTTGCTGCGGTCAACCCCATCCCAGTGTCGTCCTGGTCTAATACCATAGCGATTTGGTGCAGCCTCAAAGCCTCTCTTCAACCAACTGTGATTAGGGACTTGTTGAGGAACTATAAACCCTGATTCTCTCATCCTCTCATTGTCTCCTATATCTGGAAGAATCACTTCTGATTGCTTCTTCTGAAACATTACACAAATAATATAAGTCAGTTGAATTTTAATTAAGGTTTAGGGTTTTAACTTAATTACCTTCACTAGATGTGCCATGGGGTCACCCCATCTAACTCTGTCCTTCATCATATTATCAAGATCCGGATCATCTCTGAAGAATAAAAAAAAAAAGAGATGCATCCAGTAAGGGTGTGTATGTTTTACATGAAATATAATTATAAAAGATGTAGAGATCTCCAATAAGAATCTTTAAGATGTACATGAAATATATAATTAAAGCTTTTCAAAATAGACATTTTTTTACCTTGTTCTTGCAAATGGTTTAGCCTTCTCAAGTTCCAATTCCTGCAGCCTTGCCTCTGCTTCCCTTTTTTGAGCCAAACCCTTGCCCCATTCCAGTTTTATCTCCTGTTCAAAATATTTTTGTTAAATAAGAATACAATTTAAGTAACATTATGTAATTACAAATATAATCAACTGCGCATGTAACTCATAGCATCATGTCTCACATTATTGATTATACAAGCACGATTCCTTCTTTTATTTGTTTAGTGTTCTTATCAGTTGTTTTCAGTGCTTAAAATTTTTTTAGTATACTTCAATAACATAATGTTAAAGATATTAAAATTAATTTTGCACTATTTTACGTGAAAATAACTCTACAACAACATGAACAGAAATGCACAACACAATTTGAGAATTGAGACATTTCAAAATATAAAACTTTACATATGAAAACTAATAGTTGAGTACCTTTGGCTTCTCATCTTCCTTTTGAAGTGCTTTGATCTGGTCCTTTGTCAGGCGTTCCCCTGAAGTGGAATTAAAAATATATTTTTAACAAGAAATAGTCAAAAACATGTATATAGTGTATACAAATAGTATTTAGGAGTTTAAAACAAACCAGTTCTCTTATCACGACGTACGCCTTCAGCATTTCGCCCACTTATAGAAGGATCCATTTTTTGAAACCTGCAAGTAATATAATCAGTAATTCTGACCTTCTACAACAAGGTTTCAGACAAGAGTTTGGCTTGCATTTGATTGGGGCAAAAATGTAATTTTTTTTTTTGACCCATCCAAAAAAGCTCACAATCTCTCATATGTGCAAAAGACATTAACACCCTCCACATTCTCATCATCAAAAATAGCCCTTACAAGATTATTTAATCCCTTCCAGATCTATTAAGCACACTTTCAATACTAAGGATGCGGAGGGTATCAATGTCTTTTGCACAGACGAGAGCGAGTCTCTATTCCACCTTTATTTGTGGGACAAAAAAAAAAAAAAAAATTGAAATTTATGTCCCATTAGCAATTAACAAAGAAGAGATATGATTACCTCAACCAATCTTCCTTCTTTGTTTTAGCAATTTCTTCTTTTATATCTTTACCACTGACTAAACCAGTTTTTGGCCTCTCTGATTCCTTGATAGGTTTTCTCGGTGGAGAATGTTTTTTTCTTGGGGGAGAGAGATCTTCATGTGGACGATTATGCCCCCGTCGAGGAGGAGAAATATCAGACTCTCGACTGCGGCCCTTCCGAGGAGGAGAAAGATCGGGATCGGATTCCGGTGTATCATTCCGGGCCCTTCGTTTACGGGGTGGGGACATGTCGGAATTCAATTCCGTTATATGTTCGGATTCTGATTCCGGTTCCGGTGTATCATTCCGGGCCCTACGTCTACGTGGCGGAGAGATATCGGAATTTTTAGCAGTATCAGACACGGGAACCCAACCGCTTCCATCTTCAGAGATAGCACCAAAAGGGCGCTGGCTTTTAAGTTGTTCTAATCTTTTCATTCGTTTCACTTCAATATCTTCATCAACTTGTGGCTTCTCTTCATCTGTACATTACAAGGGTGATTATAATTGGGTAGCAATCTACATTTATTTATAAAGCATCTTCCTATTACATTATTGTACTTTGAAAATCTACCAATTATATTTATAGCAATATCATCTAAATACAAAGCAATTCGCATTGCTATAATTGGGTAAATAAATTCATCAAAGTACAAGAAAGAACTGAAAGTACATGTTATTTCTCGCTTTTAGTTACTTTGTATTGGGTTAAATGCAAGAAGTAGCAATATAATTTCATTGGATTTGTTTACTATAAGCCTCCTACTTCCATTTCTTCCTGTTACAACATTGTACTTTAAAAAATCTACATATTGAAGCACTATTATCCAAATACAAAGCAATTTTTAATTGGGTGGATTGTTTAAACCAGAGTAAATTACACGAGTCGTCCCTATGGTTTAGGGTAAGTTGCACGTTTGGTCCCTAACTTATTTTTTTAACTCGGAAGGTCCCTACTATTTGTTTTTGTTACGCGTTTGGTCCCTATCTTACCTAAAAAAAACTATTTTGCCATTGATTTTTTAATTTATTTAAATGAACACACCCCCAACCCCACTATCATCACCTTACCTAATCTATCCCACAATTTTTTCCTATTTAAATAATAGTTTTTTTAGATAAGACAGTGACCAAACACATAACAAAAACAAACAGTAAGGACCATGCACGTAACAAAAACAAACATAGGGACCAACTGTGTAATTTACTCTTTAAACTATAATGTCCTCAGAAGAAAATAAACTGAAAGTACAATGCTATAATCGAGTTGTTTTTTTTTCAAAATCCAATACCTTAGTAAGAAAAGAAGTGAAAGCACAATGTTGTAATAGAATGAAAATGGAAGTAGGATGCTATAATACACAAATAAATGAAAGTACATTGTTATTTTTCACATTTGGTCCTTTATATTTTAACAAAGAACATTAACATCAAACGTGAAGCAATCTACCAAACAAGAAATTTTATTGGCATACCTTGTGACTCATCATCTTCTTCTTCAACCTGAACTGGCTTTTGCCAAACAGGATCCTCATCAACAACAAGAACACCATTCATATCAGGCTTAGTTTTCATCTTCTTTTTCTTCTTCTTCTTTTTCTTCTCCTCCTCCTCATTATTTTCGTATCTTTTCAAATACTCCTTGAGTGAGCTGGACCCTGAAGATGGCGCTACCATGGTTGTTCTTCAAGTCCTGCTCCCAAAAAAAAAAAAAAAACATTATGTTTTATGTTTTAAGGTTCAATCATATAAAACATGTAATAGAGCTTGTTTCTTTTCTTTTTTCCATCAAGTGTTGTCAAGAATCAAGATAAATGATGGTTGTTTGGAGAAAAGCATTGTATTAACAAAGATTGTTTCTTTTTTGGACTGGATGAAGTTGAGAGCAAAATAAAACCTACACAAATTGTTCTACCTTCACAAATTGTTCTACCTTCTTGCTTTTACCATGTTTGAAGGCAGATTCGGTAATAACATTGTCATTGTCATTTTGTTAACAAGTCTATCGCCTCTCAAGTCATATATGGAAACCCTAAAACAGATGAACGAAAATATAAATGCCAATCAAAACACACCCTAACCCTAAAACTCAAAAGTCAAAATTGAAACCCCTATGAACAGTGGTAGAATGGAAGATATATACTTAACTGAGAAATTGAAGAATCACGATGATTATACCAAAGAATCAAAGGCTGCTACCAAGATGAAGAAGAATAAAAAGATACGTGAGACTGAAAAAAATAAATGGCAAGGGTAAGGTGGTGTTTGCTTTTGAAGTGGTAAAATGTCTTTTTTCCATGCCTTCATACAAAGGGGCTGTTTGGTAGGAGCTGAATTTTTAGAAGGTTTGAATTTCTAGGAGGATCTGAATTTTTAACATGCTGTTTGGTTGGAACCTCTGAATTTTTGTGTTGGATGATAAAAATGATAATTTTACACTTCTATATCATTTATTTCAATTACAACATTGCACTTTCACCATTTACATTTTTCTTATTAAGACATTGTACTTTGAAAACTATAACCGATTCTAGCATTCTACTTTCAATTACAACATTGTACTTTCAGCATTTTCCTTATTAAGAGATTGTACTTTGAAAACTATAACCAATTCTAGCATTCTAATTTCAATTTAATCTCAACAATCAGAGAATCAAACATACATTACTTCACAAAAATCAGAAAATCAAACATACCTTTACTAAACAAAAATCACAAAATCAAGGTAATTGACCTGTGAGGAAAGGAGACCATTTTCTTGTTAAGAGGAGGAATGAGATGTGTAGAATTCAACGTAATTGAAACAGATCCATGAGAATACAACAACACCTCCTTCATGCATTAGCTATTTTTCTATCAGTCTAAATCATTAGTTAGTTACAGTGCAATAACCAAATAAGAAACAAAAAACATCCACCACTAAATCCAAACACAAAACCTGCAAATCACAGGAGCAATGACCAAACCATAAACAAAAAATGACCTAATCTGAATCCAACCCTACATCAGGTAAGAACCCACAAATCCAATATCCAAAATTGAAAATGATGAGAACAGTGACAACAAGCGACCGGTCGGTGCTAGACGGGCAGATGAATGTATAACAGAAGGCATGAGTATTACCGGGATAGAAAGAGACGGGAAGATCTTAAGCATCAGGTCGGTGAAACAGGGATGCGACGATGAAGGGGATGTCGGAGGCGGTGTCGCCGGCGGAGGGAGGCAGGCGGAGGGTTGAAGATTGGAGTGCGAGGGAGAAGGGGCGGTAGTGTCGTGGAGTAGATAGAGAGTGAGAGAAGAAAAGAGAAACGAGAGAGGAGAACGAAGAGAGACAGAAAAGACCGTACCTGATCGGCGGCGGCGGTGATGTGGACCGACGGAGGCTGAGCAAGGACCGACGGAGGCCGGTGTGGAGAGACTGACGGGTGGAAGGTGCAATCGATGAGCCTAGTTCCCGAGTTGAAACAGAGAAAAGAAATAAGGAGAGAAAAGAGAAAGGAAAATAAAAGGCAGAGTTGGAATCCATCTCCTTTCACTTTTTTACTCTATAGTTGTTTGAGGTTGTTTTTAAAATAAGACAAACTTTCAAAAATATTGGTTTTCAAAAATATCAAGTTTAGTCTTTAAGTTCAAAAAATCTCACGAATCGTTCTTGTGGTTTCAAAACTTTTAACATTTAGTCCTTCCGGCTAATTTCGTTACCATTTAGCCGTTAAGTCGGGAGCATTTTTGTTATTTCACTCCTCAGGGACCATTTATGAAGATTTGTCTTATTTAAAAAAAAAAACTAATTATCTAATATTAAAGGGTATTTATGTCCTTTTCGTCCCACCCTCTCTCTCTCTCTCTCTCTCTCTCTCTCTCTCTCTCTCTCTCTCTGGGTGCTTGTTTCAGCAAGAACACCAAAACCACCGCTCTTAAGCCTGCTTCCCGCAATCCGACCTCAAATCGAGCCCTCAACAACCACAGAACACGAAATTAGACGGATCACACTATTTCTTCACTCTTCGCGTACCTTCCGATACAAAATCCGTAAACGATTCGGATTTCGAATATGAGAGTTTGTTAAATTAAGGGCTAACGATTTCGAGTAAAGGTCTGGAGAAGGAGTTAGAGGAGTTCGATCGGGTTTTAGAAGAGTATAGTGCGTTTTCGGTGAAAGAGGTCAAGAGGAGTGTGTCGGCAACGGTGGCGGTGGATAATGGTGGCTCAGTGGAGGCTAAAGTCGCAGCGTATTGGACAACGTTGGTGCCAAATGTTGAGGATTATAGTGGGTCTGTTGCGAGGATGATTGATGCGGGATCAGATCAGTTAATCAAGGGAATTTTGTGGTGTGGGGATGTGATGGTGGATCGATTAAAATGGGGAAACGAGTTTTTGAAGAAGAGGACGAAACCTGGTTCAAAAGTTGAAGTTAGTCCAAAAGCTTTGAAGAGAGTGAAGAGGTATCATCTTGTTTTCTTCTACAACATTACTTTTATCCATTGAACACTTCTAATTCCGTATCTATTCAATTTCATTTGAATAATCTTTTCTTCTATAAAAGGGCATGATATCAAGCTCGTCTCTATGGCATCTCAACCAAACTCCAACACAAATTGAAACAATTGAGCATAAAACAAGAAAAATCGATAAAAATATGATTTCTCTGTTTCTGCTAGCTTCAAGATGGCTTCGTTTCGATTGGGCACCTGGATTGGTGAGCATGACTTTGGTTTCCATTCCTGTGTACACCACAACTCCTACTACCCAGTTCGTGTTCTTGAGGACACATCCATGAAGAACGATGTTGGAAGGGCCAAGTTAGACGCATTTTTGATCGATCTCCATGTTGGCTAAGAAAACGTATATATTTCTGTTGGGTTTTTCACAACGCTATCACATGGGATTGTTTAGTTTGCAAAAAATTTGATGATTTCTCCTACTTGAATGTTTTTCCATTTCTTCTGTTCGTATGAATTGTTCACTAGAACAGATGATAAACAATTGTTTTCAATCCCGTCAGATCTGTGTCGTCTCCGGTCTTCATAAGCATCTTTCACTGTTGTAACTAATAACACAATTGGTAATGGCAAGATGGAGGCAAAATGCCCAAAAACTGCAAGCTACGGAAGTTGGTTTAGAACAGTGACTATAAGGAGAGAGAGAGAGAGAGAGAAAAAAAAAAGATAGAGAGAGAGGTGGACCCTTGCATATTAAATTTTATTTATTTATTATTTATTTTTAAAAAAAGGAATAGAAAACCTCATAAATGGTCCATGAGGAGTGAAATGACAAAAATGCCCCTGACTTAACGGCTAAATGGTAACGGAGTTAGCCAGAAGGACCAAATGTTAAAAGTTTTGAAACCACAGGGACGATCCGTGAGGTTTTTTGAACTTAGGGACTAAAGTTGATATTTTTGAAAACCACAGGGACCATTTTTGAAGTTTTGTCTTAAAATAATTTTTCGCTTTTAACATTTTTAAAATGTTAAAAAAAAACCTAAAAGATGTTTGGATATTTTAAAAGATCATTTGGAAATGACTTTTGTCAATAAGAAAATAATGAATTTCTAAAAGTCATAAAATTATGATTTTTTGTAAATTTTTGTTGTTTTACCTATAAAAATTAAATCAAAATTCATTTTGTCAATTCAAACACATTTTAAAGATTTTCTTTAGCAAAAAGTCATTTTAAAAAAAGTCCTTCTATAAGAAGGATTTTTGATGCTTAAAAGTAATCCTAAACACCCTCTAATAAATTCGGGAACATCAAATTATTTTAATTTATTCTCACTTCCTTTCTTTTATTCGTTTAATGCCAAAAAAGCCCTTTTTAGAAAAAAGAAAGTATTAATGACCTTAACATGTCTCATTCGTTCAAAATATAATAAGCAGATTGGTAATTATCGGTGATATTATCATATTATTGGTAACTGGTTGTTAAAACCTATATATTATATGGGTTAATTTAATAAAAAAAATTGAATATAAAAATCAAACTATTTGAGAACTTTAAATTTATAAGAAAACAAGAAAAATAATGAATTATTATGATGAAAATATTTTTTATCTTTTTAATTTAAACAAATAATTAAAAAAAACTAATGAGCTTTAATTTTGAAAATTTTGGAAATTTTGAAATTAAAAAGTAAATTCATTAATGAAATTGATATATATTATTGCAATTATTATATTAAAATATTATATGGAATTTAATAAAATAGAAAAACTCATAAAATAAAATGTAGGAAAAAAATAATTCAAAATAACAATAAAATAACATTTGGAAAATTGAATGATAGTGTGACATGGCAAAAAAACATTCATTTATTAGAGAGGACTATCGGTGATATTATCATATTATGAACAGATCAAACAAGTTTATCGGTTAAATGTATAAAAAATGATTATCTAATTTTTTTTTTACAGAAGACACCCCATATATTAAATAAAGAATAAAGTTTACATAAACGTAGCGGGTAAACTAGCAACAAGCTATGTCGTAACCCCTTTTTGGATGGCAAAACTAATTCTTTTTAAAAAAACCAAAATTTCTTATCCGTTTTGGTAATATTAGGTTCTTTATGCTTAGTGCACTAGTCATAAGACACACTGATGTGACATAGAATCGAGTCATCAGGTATTGGTGTTAGATCTAGATTGTAGATCCGAAGTAGGTGTAGTTCGTGAGTT